TCTAACACCATTTTAGAAGCATAAAGGGTTTTTTTTTTTTTTTTTTTTTTTCGATAAGCCAAAAATTTATTTATTGGATACAAGGCGTACCCAAACCCATTTACATTTCAGCAGACATCAGAGTGCTGTCTCTCCTTTACAATATACTGAATATAGCATCTTACAGAATATTTAAAGATCACACCTTCCCATTTAGCGTCTCTTGTTCAGCATGTCTTTTTATTGCTGATCTGGGATCATCTTTCCATAAATCCTGATGTAAATTTGGATATAAATTGACTTTTAACCAGTGAAAAGATCTATGCTTTATGAGCTCGCCCACCTCCTCTTCGCTATCTTGTTCTTTCTCAAAAACCTTCTGATTTCTCCATACCCATAATGTCCAGATTGTTGTCAGCCAGATTACCCTCCATGCTTCCTTCATTTCCTTTTTTTGAATAAGTCCCATGTGCTGCTCGTAGTGGCTTTTTACATTCACCTGTGCTGCCGAGGAAAGCTCCCACCAAGCGTAACAGTATGCCCATATTTTCCAAGAATAGAGACAATTAAACAATAAGTGGTTCAGGTATTCCTCCTCTGTTGAGCACCAGCTGCACATAATTTCTGCCCTGTCAATGATTATTCCTCTTTTTGCCAAGTTGATCTTTGTTGGTAATCTATCGACGAAAACTCTCCATGCTAGTGCTGCAACGTTTAGTGGTGCTTTACCCTTCCAAATCTGGTTAAGATAGCCATTGTCCTGTGCGCATTGGGATTGGGTGATCTGGTGGTAAGCTGACCTTGTTGAATAATTCCTTGTGCTTTCCCATCTCCATGTCCAGTGGTCCTCTTGCCCTTGCTTCAGATGAACCTGGCTCAAAATTCCTGTTAATTCCTGCAATAAATTATGTTCCCATACAAAAAGGTTCCTACGCCAACTCCACTGCCATTCTCCTACTCTTCCACTGTCACCTTTTACTTCAGCTATTGAATCACTTTTGTTTGTAGCTAAAGAGAATAATTTTGGGAATCTCTCTTTTAGGCTCACTCCTTCTATCCACACATCTTCCCAAAATAGTGTCTCCTTGCCATCCCCTATCGTTCTAACACACCCATCCTTTAACCATCCATTGTTCGAACTATCTATTCTATCTAGCTTCCACACCCCTCTCCACCATGCTGATCCCTTCTCGTTCTGCACACACCCATCCCAACCCCTTTCCCTTACCGACCCATATTTCTCAAAAATAACCCTCCTCCACAATGATTTTTTCTCCCTCAAAATCCTCCACTTCCACTTTCCTACAAAGCTTTGTTAAAACTCTCAAGGTTCCTAACTCCTAGACCTCCCTCTGATTTTTTCCTACAGACCTCCTCCCATTTTACCCATGCAATCCTTCTCTTACCCTCCCCCCCTCCCCATAAAAAATTGCGTTGAAGATTGGAGAGTATGTAGATTACCTTTTTTGGAGCTTTGTATATAGAAAAGAGATACACGGGTAAGCAGGATAATACCGCATTGAGAAGGACTATTCTACCTCCAAAAGATAATGCCCCTCCCCCCCAAAACATAAAGGTTAACCCACCATTCAACAAAGTGGAATGGTTCAAATCTTTTTGCTTCCCAGAACCATTATCAGATTTCCAATTATGAAAGTTTTGGT